CTGAAAATATTTTTTTTCTAACTTTTAAGCAGTTTCAAGTTTTCTCTAATTAAACAAACCACAACAAAGGAGTAGACAATCAGCTTCAGCAAAAAAACAACCGCTCTTAATATGACATAATCATAGTTTATTCTTCACAGAGTATGTAAGGTAAACATTTTCGTATTCTAAGCTTCTGTCCAATCATACCTTTCAATATCCACTATAGTGTTATACCTCCTTCAGTAGTCCATAAGTTTCAGCTCACATCCTTAAATGGGAATGTTGAGATAAGGGTACAGGATAAGGGCAATAAAACTGTAGGTAAAGTAAAAAAAAATTAATAGAATCGCATAAGAAATCTAATCAAATATGAAAGAAAATCTGAACCAGTAAAAGTCATATATACTATATGAACTTCTGGAAAGAACTTGCTGCCATATTTCTCTTTATTCAATATCTTCGCTATTTTAAGTTAACAAAAGAAAAGAAACTATTTGAAAGTTAAATGAATTCGAATAGCAAAGAAAAGATAAGGACAAAAATTTAATTAATTTCTTGAAATTTGGCTGATCATACAACACTGATTCGAGTATTGCTAAGTACTCATCATCAGTGTTCTTAGAAAATATTCGAATTTCTTAATTTGTTTTTAGTCTGTATATAATTTGTTTGGACTGAAAGTGCCAGGCTTAGAACTCGTGCCTGTCAAATTAGAAGCAATCGTGTTTTCATTTTTATTTTTATTATTGTGATTTAAAGTAAATTTTTCGTTTAGTTATAGTTTATGGCATTTGGAACTTATGGAACTTTATCGAATCATTTGAAGTACTTGTTGACTCTAAGGTTAAAGAAAAATAGTTGAATACAATTTTAGAGTCGGTAGGTTTATTCGTTGAATCCATTATTTAACGATACTATATTATCATCTACTTTATTTAATTAATAAATTAACACAATTACAATATTATGCCATCTATACTACTTACATTGAAAATATGTAATTAAAAATGATATATATGAATTTTAAAAATTGTGTATTATATTTAGGATATATCTAAACTACACAAATGTTATAAACTCTTTAATAACATTGCTTTTAACTCAATAAATTTCGCCAAAATAAAGGCAATGAAAAACGAACTGAACTAATTAGCAAGGCGCGCTCACTAACATGCCCCAGTAACGACATAACCAAACACTACAAGCAAAGGATCTAAAGCCCATTGAAGCTATTAAAGATACTGAAGTATAGTTAAGTGCATTGTCACCATTAAAGCAAAGCATAAATACATGCAAAATATGCACATACAAACCGCCTTTTGTTCGCTAATATAAATTTATTAGCATAAAATACTTCAGAAAGCAACTCTTTTCGTTGCTTTTGCCATTACTGTGCTATTGTTTCAATTATTGTTGTTGTTGTTGTTGATGCTGTTGTTGTCGTTTTTGTTGCTATTTTTTGTGCTTGTAAGTTAAGCCCAAAGTTAGTTGATAAGCATAGTACGTACCTCTTCGTAGATGCCAAAGGCATTAGTCGTTGTTAGCAAAGAGTTTCAATACTTGTTGTCTTCCTCTATTTTTGAGCTTTTGAGTCATAGTCAATAAATTATCGCAATACGTTGCAATGAGCATGTTAAACTCTTAACAGCTGCAACACGAAAGCGAAGTTTCATTCATTCGCTCGATATCCTAAAGACGTTGCAATGTGAATGCAGTATGCAAATACATAAAATCGTTACGGTTATTTGTTACAAGGCACAAAACTACAATAACTACTATAACTGCAGCGACTGCAACAACCTCGAAGAGCAATCAAGATACACTGCACTTGCATAAAAGTTAAACGTTTTGGAAATTCCAAAATTTTGTGGGGATGTGTGTTGCGCTACTGTATCCTAAATAACACCACACTGAGGCTGTATACGTTATTTTCATTTTTTTTGAATTACATCAGTTTTTGCTATTTTGTGGTATACTTCAGTTACATTGTTGGATATATGCCAGTGTTATGCGTCTGCTGCGATTTTATCGTTTGGAAATTATGTTCCAAATTTTCAAAAGAAAATGTTTTATAGATGATGAAGTGCTTTTCACATTAAAGTTGTTAGCGTAACGTATGGCATAGAGAAAGATTGAAATACGTGAAGCATAAATAATAACTTAACCAACAATGCAGTTATAACCAATCGATTAACTTACCAATCAATAGCGGTGAAAATTACTATT